AGTTCGAAAGGGCATCGACAGGCTCCTAGATATAAGACTCAGAACAGAAGCGGTCAAAAATCAGCGATTGATTCGTTACCTAAAGTGACGGAGCTTACGAAATGCGAAGTGGTAAAACGGTATCGAAGAATGAGTTACAAAGACTCTTTCAGTTGCTACACCAACAAGCCCGTTACGCAGATTTTAAACTTCATTCCACGGCTTACATTGACTTCAGTTGAATTTTGATTAATTTAGCTTTCTATCATCCTTAAAAATTTCGGATGCTACGCTTACCTCACATGTGAATGAACATGCGTAGAAAATATGGCAGCGATGAGTTTACAATGTTGGCTTTTTGCGTTCTGTGTTCTGAGCATAAATCGGATGCATTCATCTGATATTTGTTTAGATCGATTGCGACGTGCCCCGTGAACTGCAAAGTTATCGAAGCCTCGGGGGTCGCCTGCTGCGAGTAAACCTGTTTGACAAAGCGTACCTGCGCGCGCTGAGGATACTGCCTCAAATGGTATTTGTCTCGGAGCCAGGTGAGAGCCATCAGTCATACGCCTACTGTGCAGCGAGGTGCGAAATGTGCGTTTGACCCTGACCTAGTTGTGACCGGTGGTCGACGCCGACAAAGCATCCGTTCTATTTCTAGACATGCAGAGCCATTGCAATATTCATTCAGCCTAGATGGACGTCAATCTGATGACCATCAAACCGCTAAGTGCCAAATTTGATTTGAAATGATCTGAGGGATCAGTCACGCATATTCTGCAGATAGGCGCAGCCAGACTTTGCAAGCTCTCGTTGAATATCTGAAATGAAACGCAAAACTATTAATAGTTTTATCGAGCCTGCGTTTGAATCGAACGAAGTTTGCTACTGGGTACCCTTGAAAATAAATTAGTTAAAAATAACAGTCAAAAGCATTGGCTAAACCCATATAACAGTTAATATTAACTTATTGTTTACAGCAAAAATTGCTTCAGAATTAAGTGACAATTTTACTTAATTAACCCACCGTACAGGATTAAAGTGAGCCTGCATTGTTTCTTCTATCTGTGTATCGTTCACATATCAGAATTAATTAACATTTATAAATTAATTTACAAATGTCATGTTCCTTCCGCCATCTCGGTTGAACTGAAGGGATATCACAAATTTCAAGCAGCTTGAGATCATGAAGAAAAAACTTAGTTTCTCAACCCTTCCCAAAAATTCCGTTATTATTTATTGGTGTGAAGCACATCCTCTTGTCAGTCGAAATCTAACTCATTGCTCCACCGCTTGACCTACAATCCTATCAACGAGTCACCCGTTGAGTGTGCCTTTAAAATTATATTCAGAGTCAAACATAATTTATTTCAAATGCCCTAAATTTACCGAACCATATTCTCGAAACCAGAGTAATCATAAGAATGGGCATCAAAAACACATTCGCACGCTGGACGATGCTAATTGGTGCATAGCTCATCCAGAACCAGATTTCATGGCTTACTGCACGGCCGTTTTGCTCGTGGTTGCTTAGGGGCCATCAAAACGGGCTATGATTCCATAGTACTTGAGCACCTACTTAGATGTCTCTAACATTAATTAACTTTTTATTTTATAAGATGAGCACAAAACGGGAGTATGAAACCACCCTTTTTCATTTATGCGGTAGCGAGTTCCTGAAATATAGATCGAGATGAGCAAGGGGCTGTTCTAGCAGAATAAAGTGATGCGAGTTGCATGTAATACTGCATTTGCTCAAATGTCAGTAGCCTCGGCCAGTTTTAATGTCCTCTCATGTGAAGCTTGGAGAATGGGGGGAGGCAAAATGCTCC